GAAATAAATTGAATCATAAGCATACCAACTATTGTCCTAGAATAATGCATGAGTTTGTTGGAAAAATAAAGAAAATCTGTTCCCTGAAAACAGGCTTTGTGTTTTGGCAACAATCGATTGCAGAAACTCTACTCTCTTATCACTGAAGTATGGTACACCGTCGTAGTCTGAAGCCGAATCCTCCTCCTCCACCTATAACCTTACCTCCGATAGGAAAGGTTATCTAATAATATTCCCTCCCATTTGATTTAGTTGTTCAACTGTTTTATTAAAAGAGAATGATATGATTTAATTGTCTAACTATTTAAATTTCTCATGAAATTAAAATGAAAATTTGAGGGAATCAGCCAGGGGATTTGGGTTTCTAGATATGGATCCCTAGTTTTTTTATTTACCCATGTAAATTTCTCATGAAATCGAAATGAAATTTGAGGATTCTTGGCTTGAGTTTGCTGTGTGATTGTTTTCGATACTTGGGGCTCAATCTGATCATATTGTTCATTTGAAATTTCTCTCTTATTTCTTGTGGTATCCTCGGAAAATCTTAATGTCTCTGGTATTGCTTGTGGTATTCTAGAAATCATAATGTTTCTGGTGGATGTTGATTAACAGATATGAATTTATTACGTCGATGGATCAACTCAATAGAGTTTTCGTTTTCTCAACTTTCGATTTTGCTCCTTTTTTTTTCTTTTTTTCTTTTTTTTGGAAGGCAAAAATAAATAGTGTTATTAATGGAGTATAAGGGGTTGAGGGGTACTCAACCCATATCCAGAAAAGTTACAGAGGAAGTCCCAAAATAGCCATAGTAAAGTCAGCCAACAATTTTACATTGCCTAGGACTGAATAACCAATCCAAGAAGCAGAAAAGTGGATCCTTTCCTCTATATTTTAGCCATAAAAAAGTTCTTACTTGAATAAGATTGAACATTCTATTTGTATCTAATTCTTAGCTATTGAATAGCACCCTGTTTCTGGTGAGCCAAATCGTCCACATTAACGCGAACCAAACTTTCGATTTTGCTTTGTCTCGGTTTTCCAAGAATATTTGGATGTTAAGGGGTTTGGTTTGATTTTTTGCGACTCCTGGTTGTTTAGATTTCGTGTTTTATGCAAATATGAACTTGATTATCAATTTGTGGTTTATTTGTATTGTCAAAGTTGGAATCTCCTTGAGATTAACTTGCTTGCGGATTTGACTTTCGTGAAAGGGTCGTTTTTTTTTTTAGTAAATGAATGAAGATATTTTATTTTAATTCAGGCTTTGGCTTCTTTTCTATCCCTGTAATTGTAGTCTTTTGTTAGTATTGAACTTCAAAGGATAGGTTGTTTTTGGGTCAAGTCGTTCCTTGCTAAGTCAATTTCATATTTCTTAGATTTTGAGGTTCTCTTGGTTAAAGAATCTTGTCAACTAGCAGCTCTTGTTTCTCCCTCTGTAATCCCTGTGCGAGAGCATCTCTTGAGTTAAAGCAATCCGTCCATTATTTATACTTGGTTGTCCTTGTGTTTGTTCTGTCAACATGCTTTCCTTGAGGCCTATGATTTGAACTTGTTTGATGGATTAAAATTTGAGTATATTTGGTCCGTTGTTCAGCAAGTTGTAAAAAAATTATTTATATATTATTTTCCCATAAAATCTTATTAACAATATCTCAAAATAAAAATTGAAATAAAAGTGTGTCAATTATTTTTGTATGAAAAGCGAGAAAATAATTTGACAACTACCTTTTTTTTTCGTTTCTTTTTTTTTTTTATGAAAAGGTTGCAGAAAAAGTATCATTGCTTTCAAATGAATTGTACATTAAATTTGATTATATGCTAAAAATGAGCGATTAATTTTTGTACAATAAACTCAAAATTAATTTAGAAGCATATTAATAACTTTAGTCACAATAAACATTTATCAAGAAAATTAAATATTAAAAAATCACTATGTTAAAAGCTATACTTAAAAGTGTTGAATAAAAGTACAGTAACTATAGTTAGGCAATAATCTAAATCACTGGCAAAAGAGTAAAGAACTAAAAAAATAAATGTGCTGAAGACTTAAAGTGCAATTAGAAGTAACTTTGGCAGAATGTAAATTAAGACAGAAAATAAAGAATTTATTGATTGTTGGTAAAAATGTAAAGTGTTGGAAACACAAATATGGCCAACAGGTAGATTTATTTGAAGGATAAATTCGACTATGACTAAATGAAATTGATAAGTTTATTCAATGAATTGAAATTAACAAAAGAACATTTTTTTTTTTTTACTTTGAATTATATAATGTGAGATAATATTTTTATCCCTCAATCTATCTCACCAATACCTCATATAATTTAAATTTAAATTTCTTACTCTCATTAAAAAAAAAAATTACTAATTGCCTAAGTTGATGGCAAGGCAATTGAATCGACAATAGTCAATGACAGAAGTGCAAAATATGCTGGTAGAAGTAGGACAACTATATAAAACTTGACTACAAAGTCAACAAAACAAATAACTTGCTGGAGGACTAATCCTTCTTCTTGGCTAAAGAGTTGCAGAGTTGCAATGGTAGCAATCTATGAACTCGGAGGAATCTAAGTTATCATAGGGCAGACCTAAGTAAACTTGAAAAGATGCAGTTGATTGAGGGCGGACCTCGAAGTGGGTTGCAGTGTAGCACTAGGCCAAGTCATCGTAGATATGTCATTTTTTTTTTTAACAGGTTTACAATTGATGCGTAAAGATTTGAATACCAACCTTTAAGTTGAGAGAATGTACTTTTATAAGAAGACCTATAGTCATTGCGCCGCAAGACCCAGCTGCTGTAGAGATGTCATTTTGTTGAAAGGCGCAGGTGTGAAAACTTGCATTTATAACTTTAATCCCGATTTTGATTTCTAAAATCCGCAGTGCTTGTGCATTCCGAGGAAGAGGAAGACCAATTTAATTAGCGTTAAACGTTACCCAGGGTACGTAAATATCTTCCACAAAGCATGCTCCAATCGATCAAGACCCAAGGATTACATTTGGGCTACATTTCCTCGCGGACCCAACTCCTTGTTAAGCCCAAAATGAATTTAGCCTCCATCAAATCCAAGCCCATCAAAATCATC